GTGCTCCGTCCGTGCGTGCGTCCCTGCAGCGGGTTTTGCGCCGCCGCAGTAGAGGACACTGAGCGACTCATTTCCACCTCGGGGGCTCCGGACTTGCCCGTGGGGCATTCTGGGAAATGGAGTCTCGGCCCTGGCCCCGCCCCTACGAGGAGGAAGCGCGCGGGCCGAGACACGTGCGTGCGTGCGTGCGTGCGTGCGTGCGCGCGCGCGTCCGTCCGGAGCTCCGGGCTAGGCACTGCGGGCGCAGGCGCGGCTGCCGCTTCCTCTTTAACTCCGCATTCGGAAGTGGTGGAGGCGCTGGGGCCGGGGGTGGGTGGGGTCAGCGGAGTAGGAATGTCCCCGCCCGCACCCCATCCGGGCGGACCGAGGGCAAGCGGCACGTGGGCATCCCGCGCGAAGCTCCTTCCGGTGTCCCCATTTCACAGAAGAGGATCCCGAGGGTCCGAGAGGCTGAGTCACTTGCCCAAGGTCACCCAGTTCGGGCCAAACTGGAATCAAATCAAAACAATTAACTGAATTCAATGGCTATGAAAGAATATGATTGACCCCCCCAAATGCTAGTACTATTAATAACCAAATACTGTTTTAATTGAATCTGTCCATTGCATACATCGGTGGCTCTTCTGCGTGACTTTGCCCCCCAGGGGATAACGTGACTACGGCTGAAAAGGTGGTTTTCGTTGTCTCAACTTGGGGTCTGGGGGTACTGCTGGCAGGGAGTGGTTTGGCGACGGCTCCCCACCGGTAGGAAACAGATGACCCACCGGGTATGTGTCGCCTACTGCTTTTCTTCTCAGTGTCACCGCCCTGATCAGCTGATTTATTCATCATCACAAAATTAAATGAATACAAGGAGCAAGGCTGGGTTAGGTGGCTCACGCGTGTCGTCTTCAGCACTTTGGGAGGCTGAGGGGTGTGGATCACTTGAGGTCAGGAGTTCGAGACCACCCTGGCCAACATATAGTGAAACCCTGTCTTTACTAAAAATACACACAAAAAAATTAGCAAGGGGCGGGAGGGTGGTGGACACCTGTAATCCCAACTACATGGGGAGCCAAGGCAGGAGAATCTCTGGAACCCAGGAAGTAGAAGTTGCAGAGGGTCGAGATCCAGCCACTGCACTCCAGCCTGGGTGACAGAGCGAGAGTCCCATCTTAAAAAAAAAAAAAAAGGAACAAGATCACAGGCAAATAGTACCAAAAAAAAAAAAAAAACTTTCTCTTTTTTTTGAGATGGAGTTTCGCTCTTGTTACCCAGGCTGGAGTGCAATGGCGCCATCTCGGCTCACCGCGACCTCCGCCTCCTGGGTTCAGGCAATTCCCCTGCCTCAGCCTCCCGAGTAGCTGGGATTACAGGCACGCACCACCGTGCCCAGCTGATTTTTTTATTTTTAGTAGAGACGGGGTTTCACCATGTTGACCAGGATGGTCTTGATCTCTTGACCTCGTGATCCACCCGCCTCGGCCTCCCAAAGTGCTGGGATTACAGGTGTGAACCACTGCGCCCGGACTATATTTTTAGACGGATTTCTTTGTCACCTAGGCTGGAGTGCAGTGGCACGATCTCGGCTCACTGCAACTTCCACGTCCCAGGTTCAAGCGATTCTCCTGCCTCAGCCTCCCAAGTAGCTGGGGCTACAGGTGTGTACCACCGCACCCAGCTAATTTTTTTACTTTTTAGTAGAGATGAGGTTTCACCATGTTGGCCAGGATGGTCTCGATCTCTTGACCTTGTGATTCACCCACCTCGGCCTCCCAAAGTGCTGGGATTACAGGCGTGAGCCACCACGCCCGGCTAATTTTTTGTATTTTTAGTAGAGTTGGGGGTTTCACTGTCTTACCCAGGATGGTCTCAATCTCCTGACCTCGTGATCCAAATGCCTGAGCCTCCCTAAATTCTGGGATTACAGGCGGGAGCCACTGCACCCAGCCCAATTTTTGTATTTTTAGTAGAGATGGGGTTTCACCATCTCCTAACCTTGTGATCCGCCCACCTTGGCCTCCCAAAGTGCTGGGATTACAGGGGTGAGCCACCAGGCCTGCCCGGTTTTTTGCTTTTTTGTTTTTGAGACAGTCTCACTCTGTCACTCAGGCTGGAGTGCAGTGGCATGATCTCAGCTCACTGCATGAGCCATTTTGCCCGGCCTAAAACCTCATTTAAAATTTAAAAAAAGAAAAAATAAAAATAAATAAATAAACAAATGAAATACATGTGGCTGGATGCAGGGGCTTGTGGCCTGGAATCCTAGCACTTTGGAAGGCCGAGGTGAGAGGATCGTGTGAGCCCAGGAGTTCAACACAAGCCTGGGCAGCGTGACAAAACCCTGTCTCTACAAAAAATAAAATACGCCGGGCCCGGTGGCTCACGCCTGTAATCCCAGCACTTTGGGAGGCCGAGGCGGGTGGATCACGACGTCAAGAGATCGAGACCATCCTGGTCAACATGGTGAAACCCCGTCTCTACTAAAAATACAAAAAATTAGCCGGGCACGGTGGCGCGTGCCTGTAATCCCAGCTACTCGGGTGGCTGAGGCAGGAGAATTGCCTGAACCCGGGAGGCGGAGGTTGCGGTGAGCCGAGATCGCACCATTGCACTCCAGCCTGGGTAACAAGAGCGAAACTCCGTCTCAAAAAAATAAAATAAAATAATCAGCCCGGCTTGGTGGCATGTGCCTGTAGTCCTAGTTTCTTGGAGGCTGAGGCAGGAGGATCACTTGAGCCCAGGAGTTGGAAGGTTCACCGAGTTGACTGCACTCTGGCCTGGGCCGAAGAGCCAAACCCTGCCAAGAAAAAAGAAATGAATAAACCTGGGGACAGTGGCACTTTGGGAGGCCAAGGCAGGAAGACTGCTTGAGAGCCCAGGAGCTTGAGACCAACCTGGGCTTCACAGCAAGACCCTGTCTCTACCCCAAAAACCCAAACGCAAACGAAACAAGACTAGAACATTTGAAACAAACATACAGCCATCCACTGGTGACTGGATACATCAACAATGAAGCAGGGCGGATGAAACTGGCAGGATGTGGACGAAGGAGGAGGGCGGGCGCAAGACACCGACACGTTTTATATATGTATGTGTATGTATATATACTACATGTTTATTTTATACGTGTGTATATATATATATATATATATATATATATATATTTTTTTTTTTTTGAGATGGAGTTTCGCTCTTGTTACCCAGGCTGGAGTGCAATGGTGCGATCTCGGCTCACCGCAACCTCCGCCTCCCGGGTTCAGGCAATTCTCCTGCCTCAGCCTCCCGAGTAGCTGGGACTACAGGCACGCACCACCATGCCCGGCTAATTTTTTGTATTTTTAGTAGAGACGGGGTTTCACCATGTTGACCAGGATGGTCTCGATCTCATGACCTTGTGATCCTCCCGCCTCGGCCTCCCAAAGTGCTGGGATTACATGCGTGAGCCACTGCGCCCGGCCTATATTTTTAGACGGATCTCTTTGTCGCCCAGGCTGGAGTACAGTGGCACGATCGCGACTCACTGCAACTTCCACGTCCCAGGTTCAAGTGATTCTCCTGCCTCAGCCTCCCAAGTAGCTGGGACCACAGGCGTGTACCACCGCACCCAGCTAATTTTTATTTTTTTTTCAGTAGAGACAGGGTTTCACCGTATTGGTCAGGCCGGTCTCAAACTCCTAACCTTGTGATCCACCTGCCTTGGCCTCCCAAAGTGGTGGGATTACAGGCGTGAGCCACCAGCCCAAGTTGTATATTTTTAAAACTACAGGCTGGGAGGCCGAGGCGGGTGGATCATGAGGTCAAGAAATCGAGACCATCCTGGTCAACATGGTGAAACCCCGTCTCTACTAAAAATACAAAAAATTAGCTGGGCGTGGTGGTGCGTGCCTGTAATCCCAGCTACTCGGGAGGCTGAGGCAGGAGAATTGCCTGAACCCAGGAGGCGGAGGTTGCGGTGAGCCGAGATCGCGCCATTGCACTCCAGCCTGGGTAACAAGAGCGAAACTCCGTCTCAAAAAAAAAAAAAGAAAATACAAAAATTAGCTGGGCGTGGTGTCACACGCCTGTAGTCCCAGGTACTCGAGAGGCTGAGGCAGGGGAATCACTTGAACCCTGGGTGGCAGAGGTTGCAATGAGCCGAGATTGTGCCACTGCACTCCAGGTGGGTAACAGAGCAAGACTCTATGTCCTTTTTTTTTTTTTTTTTTAAATAATCCCAAAAGTGCTGGGATTATAGGCGTGAGCCACCGCGTCTGCTATTTTTATTTTTGAGATGGGGTGTTGCTCTGTCTCCCAGGCTGGAGTGCTCACTGCAACCTCTGCTGGAGGCGTCTTTGGGCAGAGCCCTCCATCAGGGTCCCGGGGTCTCAGGTGACCCCCAGCTTATGGAGCTGTGACGTGGGCTCATGAAAGCGGGAAGGCAGCTCAGGGTCAACTCGGGGGCATGAGAGCTCTAATCCTGGGTCCCCAACCTCATGGCCACAAGATCACTGGCTTTGCCTCCCAGGGCCTCCCTTTCCCCATCTGTAAAACGGCAGTCATCATAGAACCTGGTGGGCATGGTGGCTCGTGCCTGTAATCTCAGCACTTTGGGAGGCTGAAGCGGGAGGATCGCTTGAGTCCAGGAGTTTGAGACCAGCCTGGGCAACCTAACAAGACCCTGTCTCTGTTAGGAAAAAAAAAAAAAAAGAACTCAGTGTAGCATCTTCTGAAGATTAAACACTGAAAGCACTTCCAACAGTGCCTGGAAGGTCCTGAGATTCTGACATCCCAGAGAGGAGGGCTGAATGCTGACAGATAAGGAAACTGAGGCACGGAAGCGGCCTCGGGCCTGCAGGTTCGCGTACCCGGGCGCGGTGCTCCGGTGCTCGCTCCGCGGAGAGGGCACCGAGGCTGCTGGAAGAGGGGGCGGCCCGGGCCCCGACCCCACTCCCGCCACCCCTCGCGTGGCCGCCGCTAGAGGCCGCTCCTGGAGCCGCGCGCGTCCTCTCACGGGTCCGCCCCCCGGGCCTGCCGGACCCGCCCCCAGGACCCGCCCCCGGCCCACAAGGCCCTGCAGGGAGCGGGCCCGGACGTGCAGCGATCGAGGTCGGGTAGCCGTCCAGCCCGCAGCATGAGCGCCCCCAGCGCGACCCCCATCTTCGCGCCCGGCGAGAACTGCAGCCCCGCGTGGGGGGCGGCGCCCGCGGCCTACGACGCGGCGGACACGCACCTGCGCATCCTGGGCAAGCCGGTGATGGAGCGCTGGGAGACCCCCTACATGCACTCGCTGGCCGCCGCCGCCACCTCCAAAGGTAGCCCCCGCCCGGCCCGCACCGCCCCCGGGGCCGCAGGGGAAACTGAGGCCGGGGCTGCCCCGAGCCCGGGCTCTGCAGCCCACCCTCCCCCGGGGCGCCTCTGTCTCCTCGCCTGGGAAGTGGGGCTGCAGGTGGGGGCACACGGAGTCGTTCACGGGGTGCGCTGCAGGCGTGGGGCCCGCACACAGTAGGCGCCGCCTGAGTACCGGGAACTTCCTCTCCAGGGGGAGTGAGGACCCCTCTCCAGATGGGGACTTCGGCCGCGAGGCCTGGGTGGAACTGGGTCCCTGACTCCCTGTCTGAGGTCCAGACCCAGGGGTCGCGCCGCAGGGAGGCTTCCCGTTTGCCTGCCCCGGAGGGCAGCCCCGCCTCGCCCAGCTAAGAATAGCACCTAGAAAGCTGAGCTCAGGGAGACAGCTGTCCCCGGGGTGGCCCTGGCCTGCCTGGCGTCAGAGCCTGAGGGCTGCTTCGGACTCCCTGGCCCTGCACAGGCCGTTCCAGGAGTCCAGCCTCAGTGTTCCCACCCTGAAAATGGGCACGCCCAGTGTCAGTGCCAATCTGGATGGAGGGGGCCGCACGTGTGGCCCACCGGGGACCGGCCCTTCCCCTCCCAGATAGTCTTGCCTGGCCACTCTTGCATACCCGATTTTTGGGTGGAGAGAGGGGGAGAGAAAAGTAACCAACCCGAGATAAGGGACCCGGCACAAACAGTGTGGGCTGGGGCTCAAAGTCCAAGGTTCTCGCCTCCCCCCGGGCTGGGCCCAAAAGCGGTCATATTTGGCCTTGCTGGCTGGCCAGCCTCTCTCTGGCCACTGGCCAGGGCCCACACTGTTCTGCTCAACGCTTGTATTCTGCCCGCCTCTGCCCACACTGGCCCAGGCTTCCCCTCCCGTCCTGTGGCAAATGTCACTCACAGCGCAGCCTGCCCTGCATCCTCTCCTCCAAGCAGATCCCCAGCCTAGCCCTGCACTCCCTCCTCCAGGCAGGCCCCCAGCACAGCCCTGCCCTACCCTTCACCCCCTCCTCCAGGCAGCCTCCCCAGCCCCGCACCCCCCTCCAGGCAGCCTCCCCAGCCCCGCACCCCACTCCAGGCAGCCTCCCCAGCCCCGCACCCCCCCTCCAGGCAGCCTCCCCAGCCCCGAACCCCCCATCCAGGCAGCCTCCCCAGCCCCGCACCCCCCCCGCTCCAGGCAGCCTCCCCAGCCCCAAACCCCCCCTCCAGGCAGCCTCCCCAGCCCCGAACCCCCCCTCCAGGCAGCCTCCCCAGCCCCGCACCCCCGCTCCAGGCAGCCTCCCCAGCCCCGAACCCCTCATCCAGGCAGCCTCCCCAGCCCTGCACCCCTCATCCAGGCAGCCCCCCCAGCCCTGCATCCCCCCTCCAGGCAGCCTCCCCAGCCCTGCACCCCTCATCCAGGCAGCCTCCCCAGCCCTGCCCTGCCCTGCGCCTCTCCTCCAGGCCCACCGAGTAATGCCGGGCGCCCTGTGTGCAGGGGGCCGGGTCCTGGAGGTGGGCTTTGGCATGGCCATCGCAGCAGCAAAGGTGCAGGAGGCACCCATTGACGAGCACTGGATCATCGAGTGCAATGACGGCGTCTTCCAGCGGCTCCAGGACTGGGCCCCGCGGCAGACTCACAAGGTGCCCCTCCGCCTGCAGGCCCTCCGGGAGCCCCACTCCGTGGGGTGAGGGCACTGCCTCTTGGGGGGTTGGGGGCCTGGGCCACCAGAGGTGGAGGAGGTGGTCTTTTCCCTCGGGAGTCCCTCTGGCCGCTCCCTTTCTGCAGGTGGGGAGATCTTGGCGACCTCTCTGACCCTGTCTTATTTTCCCTTCTCCAAGGTCGTGCCCTTGAAAGGCCTGTGGGAGGATGTGGCGCCCACTCTGCCTGACGGACACTTCGATGGTGAGGGGTGACGGACGTATCACAGGGTGGGCCTCCCAGCTCCAATCGAGCCCCTCCTTTGCTTGTGGGGGCCCCTCTGGTGTGCACTGGGGGACAGAGCCCCTGTGGGTGCAGGCCTGGCTATGCGGGCTGGCAGGGCACAGAGGAGCCCTGGAGGCCTCTGCCCGGTCTCACTTACCCTCCACCCGCTGGGGTGAGCCGGGAGCACTGAGCCCAGCCCTGACCTCCTGGGTTTCCGTTCCCTGTGCAGGGATCCTGTATGACACGTACCCGCTCTCGGAGGACACCTGGCACACACACCAGTTCAACTTCATCAAGGTAGCGCTGTCTGACTTGCTGGGATGCAGGAGCCCCTCTGCCCACACCCCACCTCCATCCTGACCACTGGCCACTTCCCTGCCACAGAACCACGCCTTTCGCCTGCTGAAGCCGGGGGGCGTCCTCACCTACTGCAACCTCACCTCCTGGGGGGAGCTGATGAAGACCAAGTACTCGAACATCACCACCATGTTTGAGGTGGGCTCACCTGGGGTTCCCCTCGGGCCGCCAGGCATTGACCTGGGTGGGGCTGGGCTGCTGGGGTCACCTTGCTGTCTGGGGAGGGTCCCCTCCTGACCCCCTGGGGGGGCTGGACTGTGCTGGTTCATTTGAAAATCAAAGTCCTTTGCCAGGAGCGGTGGCTCCTGCCTGTAATCCCAGCACTGTGGGAGGCCGAGGTGGGCATATCGCTTGAGCCTAGGAGTTTCAGACCAGCCTGGGCAACATAGCAAGACCTCGTTTTTACTAAAAAAATACAAAAAAGCTGGGCATGGTGGCTCACGCCTGTAATCCCAGCACTTTGGGAGGCCCAGGCGGTGGATCACGAGGTCAGGAGTTTGAGACCAGCCTGGCCAACATGGCGAAATCCCGTCTCTACTAAAAATAAAAAAATTAGCTGGGCGTGGTGGTATGAGCCTGTGGTCCCAGCTGCTTGGAAGGCTGAGGCAGGAGAATTGCCTGAACCCAGAAAATGGAGGTTGCTGTGAGCCGAGATCGCGCCGTTGCACTCCAGCCTGGTGACAGAGCGGGACTCCGTCTCAAAACAAGAGAATAGAAACCAAAGTCCCTCGCCAGCTCAGCAGCCTCCCCTGGCTCCCCAGTGCCCTGTGGATCAGCCTGAGCCCCGAGGGTTCCCCTCCCTCTGGCCGCCTCCACCCAGCTGCCTTCGTGGATTCAGCAGTACTTGTCTCTGGCTGTTCCCTCTGTCTGAGGGCTCTGTGTGGTCATCCTGGGCCACTGTTCCAAGAACCTGCTGGGTGCCTCTGGCCCTCGGCAGCCTGCGTTCTTTTTCTGTCGTGATTGTTTGGCTCCACCGGCCGCACGGGCAAGGTCTGGAGAACCACGGAGTAGGTGGCTGGAGCCCCATGATGCTGGTGTGGGGCTGGGGTTCAGGGCTGCCCTCCATGGGCCCACAGTGGCTGCAGCCGCCCACCCAGGCCTTGGCATCTGTAAACACTCTTCGATGTAGGGTGGGCACCGAGGCGCACGTGACCTCGACAGCCCTCAGAGGTGACCTGCGCCACCCCCACCCAGGAGACGCAGGTGCCCTCGCTGCTGGAGGCCGGCTTCCGGAGGGAGGACATCCGCACCAAGGTGATGGCGCTGGTCCCGCCGGCCGACTGCCGCTACTACGCCTTCCCGCAGATGATCACGCCCCTGGTCACCAAGGGCTGAGCCCTCGCCCCAGCCTGGCCACACCCGTGCCCTCCTCCGTGCCTTCCTGGCTGGGAGCCCAGGCTCTCCTGCCAGCCCCGCCTGACCCCAGCTTTCCCGCTTGTCTGTGAGGGGTCCCTGAGGTGAAGTAAACGCTGGTGCTGGGCTGTCGGTCCCCAGTGAGTGAGCGACTCAGTGCAGTGCTGCGTCCTCACCTCCCGCCATCCCACGGACACAGGAGGCGGGTGCCTCCCCTGCAGGCCTCTTGCCCGTGGCAGACATCTCCAGCCGATGCCTGACGCCCCCTCATCAGACCAGAGCCACCTGATGCTCTGCAGCGGGGTCAGAGAGGGGTGTAACTAGGCCAGGGTCTCAGACGGTGGGGAGCACCGGGGCAGAGGTGTGGGTAAGACAAGGACCCCTGCCCACCTGCCACCAGAGCCGGCTTCTCTACCGGCCCCGGCACCACCTGAGCTCCCCTCCCCCCGCTGCAGGAGGGGCGTCACTGCCGGGAGCCCCCCATTTCTGGATGTCGTTTCCTCTCTGGAGGCCCAGTGCAGGGGCAGCCCCACCTGTCCAGACCCTGGAACATCCCGCTTCTGCCTGTCTGTGCCCCCATGCCCCTGGCGTCCACATGCGAGCAGGCCGCCCATCTTCCTGGGGCCATCCTGCCCATCCCCCGCACCCACCTCCCCTCGTCCGGAGAGAAGGCCGGCTCCTGGGCTCTGCACCCTGGCCCAGGCTGCCCTTCCGAGGCTACAGCCCTGTCCCCACCCCAGGACGTCCCCCCTCAGCACCTCCTGCCTCCAGGGTACTTTCCTGGCCGGCTGGGCTCCTCCTGCTCCCCACACTCCCCAGCCTCCCAGTCCCCATCCTAGCCTGGTCTCTCATAACTGCCTCCCCAGAAATGCCCCAGCGCAGCAGACAGGTAGGGTGGGACTGCAGAGCAGGGGCTCCAGCAGCGGCGGTGGCGTCTGGCCCTGAACACGGGAAGATGGGACGTCTGCTGAATGAATACACATCCCTGATGAGGACACAGACTCCAATGGATAAAGGGGCTGGCGGGGCGGACCCAGGGTTCCCCCAAAGTCCTGGGTGTAGAGGGTCCCCGAAGGGCCTCATCTGGCCCCTGGAGGCCCCGGGTCAGACAGCCTGTGAGCCCTGCAGCCTCCGGTTTGGAAGGGGACCAGGTGCCATCTCCCCATCCTCCCAGCCCCGTTCCTGGCCTAACCGGCCCAGAGGGCAGCGGTGAGCTGCCTAAGCCCACTCAGGCCACGGGCTACCCTCTGAACCCCAGGGCAGGGTCAGACAGGCTTTGCTCAACTTGCCTCAGGGCACAGAGGGAAACAGAGTCAGGGCCCTCCCAGGAGGGGTAGTCTGGGGCCCTCCATGCTGGTGACTTTGGGCCAGGACGTTCACCCCAGCGTCTTCACAGAGCAGTGGGAAAGCACCCTGCTGGCAGGCACAGTGCCCGTCCCTGCCCCCAACCCGAAGGTCCCCCCGCCTACACACCACACTGGGAGGCAGAGGCCCGAGGGCGGGTTTATTGACAAACTCACGGGACAGAAGGGGGACAGGACGGCTCCAGGCGAGGCTCCGGTGGCAGTGGTGGCGCTACCTGCGGTACCAGATCTGCAGCCTCCGCTCCCGCTTGATCTTCCTCTGCAGCTGCAGGATGCCGTAGAGCAGGGCCTCGGCCGTGGGCGGGCAGCCTGCGGGGACCTCGCTTCAGTCTCCCTTCCAGCAACCGGAGCCCGCAACCGGGCACCGCGCAGCCGGCTCAGCTTGTGAGGGCCCTCCCGTGCCGGCCTCCGAGCGTGGAGACTGGCAGCCCTGGGTGGGCGTGGAGGCCGGGGCTGGCAGCCGGCTCGGGGGACGCCCCTGCAGGAAGAGTGGGGTCTCCGCCGTGCAAAGCCCCACTGCCCTCCACCTGTGGCTTGTCCGGGGCTGTCACAGGAGCCTCCTGGACAAGAGGCTGACCTCACCAACCCAGCCCCGGCCCTCGGGGCTCTATGGGGACCAGCGAACAAACTCACTTGGCAGGGGGACCAGGGCCCAGGGCTGCCCTGGACGGAGGTGGAGGCGAGGAGGCTGGGCAGAGGGAGGAGACATGGCAGTTGCCACAGGGCCTGTGAAAGGGTGGCCGGGCCACACCTGGCAGAGCTCTGGCAAGTCCAGGCCGCTGCCAGGGAGGGAGGGGCGCAGGCCGTGCTCACACCCCACCCCTTTGGTCTGCACTGCAGGGGAAGACACCAGGGGCATGGGCTGGGCCCCTGAGCTCTGTACCCCAGGACGGACCTCTCTGTGCTGAGGGTCAGGGGAAGACAACAGGGGCATGGGCTGGGCCCCTGAGCTCCGGACCCCAGGACGGACCTCTCTGTGCTGAGGGTCACAGGGAGGCCCAGGCTGCCCTGTACACTGCCCCCAGGTGACCTGGCTCAGGACCTCAGGGAGAACACGCTAGGGCTGCTCCTTGCCCCAGCTACACTGGCTGCTCGTGAAGACCCTTGGAAAGGAGTCGGGGGCAAGGAGGCTGGAGGCAGCAGAGCGGCTGGGGTGGGTGAGAGGTCCCAAAGGCCAGGGGCTGGGAAAGGAGCCGGGGAGGAACAGGTGTGCCTCCCACAGCCTCAGTCCACAGCGCCCACCCCGACACAGCAGGCAGGGCCGGGCGTGTCTGTGTCGGGCTCTGCATCCCTAGCCTGGGGGCTCCCCAGCGTCATGTCCCGGCCCAGGCAGTCACGGAGCTGTGCAGAACGCTGAGCGGATCAACGCCCTTTCCAGGGAAGCTGAAGCCAATGTCAGAGCCTGTTCCTCCACTTCCGAAGGCACCAGGACGTACCGCCAGCCTGCCCAACCCTCCAGACTCAGGACTCATGGCTGGACTCTGCACCTGCGCTAACACCGCGGGACCAAGAACGTGACCTCTGTCGCCTGTCCCACATGAGCGACACCTCCCGGCCTGCCACCACAGACCACCGTCAGGGCGAACACCCCAGGGGCGACCCTCACGGAACCACAGGAGGCACGGGAGTCCCTCGGGGCCACCAGATACAAAGAAGGGCCGTCCAATGTGAATTTCAGGTGTGCAGCCAATTCTCCGTGTTAGCATAAGTACATCCCAAGTGTTGCTGGGACGTATTCGAACTGAACCATTACTACTCATTGTCTTCCTGATGGTCCAGCTCACCCTAACCTCACAGTCAAACTGAGCCTCCTGCATTTTCTTTTAGAGATGGGGTTAGCACCACATTGGCCAGGATGGGATGGTCTCGATCTCCTGACCCCGTGATCCGCCCACCTTGGCCTCCCAAAGTGCTGGGATTACAGGCATGAGCCACTGCGCCCGGCACCTCCCGCATTTTCATTTGCCAAATCCGGCCACCCTGGCAACCTTGGGTCTCAGGGAGTCTCGTGTGCCCTCCTCTGAGGGTGCGGGTGTGGGTGCGGGATGGTGTCCTTGGCTCCAGGAACCTTCTCTTTCAACCAACGTGGTCTCTGTCAGGCGGGACCACGTAAAACTGTGCTTTAGGCTGGGCGAGGTGGCTCACGCCTGTAATCCCAGCACTTTGGGAGGTTGAGACGGGCGGATCACCTGAGGTCAGGAGTTTGAGACCAGCCTGACCAACATGGAGGAACCCTCTCCCTACAGAAAAAAAAAAAAAGAAAGAAAATTCAAAATTAGCTGGGTGTGGTGGTGCGTGCCTGTAATCCCAGTTACGTGGGAGTCTAAGGCAGGAGAATAGCTTGAACCCGGGAGGTAGAGGTTGCAGTGAGCCGAGATGGTGCCATTGCACTCCAGCCTGGGCAACAAGAGCAAAACTCCGTCTCAAAAAAAAAAAAGGGAAGAAACTGTGCTTTAAACCAGGCGAGTGTCAGGAATTTCGATGGCTTCCGCTGCCCCCCTCTGCTCCCTCTGATGCCTGAACACACTGCAGACTTCTCATCGGGGACGCGCTCCGCTAAGAGGGAGAGCCCCGGGTTGGCTCAGCTGTTGGGTAGGGAGCCCCGGGTTGGCTCAGCTGTCGGGAGGGGAGCCCGCCGTGTGCTGGCATGTGGGCCTCCCTCACAGGGGCAGCCGGGTTCTGCATGGCACCGGCCCCATCCCCCACTCCCTCGTGGGCGGCACGGCCCCAGCCCTACCTGGGACGTAGATGTCCACGGGCACGATGCGGTCGCAGCCCCTCACAACCGAGTAGGAGTAGTGGTAGTAACCGCCTCCGTTGGCACAGCTGTGGGGGAGACGCCGTGAGGGGAGTGGGGGCCAAGGACCCACCCTGCCCACCCTCCCTCCTCAAGGCCCTGCCCCATCCCCACCCGCCTTCCACTGCAGGCCAGGCCCAGCTACCGACGAGGCTGAACGTGTCACGGAGAAGCAGGGAGCAAACACGCACAGGCTCCTGGAGCCTCTGTGGGCCTGTGGAGCCGAGCACATGCGTGGCCGACAAGTTGGGAAAACGTGCTCCCTCCCAAGGGGCTCCTGACCACGGGTTCCCGGGCTGGGAACCGTCGGATCGCACGTGTCAACAAAAAGCCCCTTCAAACGGCCACGCTGCCAACACTTGGCACCTGTCTACAGGGCGACTGGGCCCCACGCTAGGCCTCGCCCAGTCCCGACTGTGTCCCACGCTAGGCCTCGCCCAGTCCCGACTGTGTCCCACGCTAGGCCTCGCCCAGTCCCGACTGTGTCAGTGAGGTGCTGGGGTCCACCTGGGGCAGGTAACCGGAAAGCCCAGGTGACCTCACGGCCTCCACTCCCAGCACTGCTTCTCACAGCCGTAAGAATGGACACAGACTGAGTGCCCAGCAGTGGGGGATGGTTATGAAAACTCTGGAATATTCTGGGCCGTTGCCCAGCCTGGAGTGCAGTGGTGCCATCTCGGCTCACTGCAACCACCGCATCCCGGGGTTAAGCGAGTCTCCTGCCTCAGCCTCCTGAGTAGTTGGGATTACAGGCAGTCACCACCACACCCGGCTGGTTTTTGTATTTTTAGTAGAGACGGGGTTTTACCATGTTGGTCAGGTTGGTCTCGATCTCCTGACCCCGTGATCTGCCCACTCGCCCTCCCAGAGTGCTGGGATTACAGGTGTGAGCCACCGCGCCCGGCCTAACTCTGGAATATTCTAATTCTCTTTAGAATTAGGTTAGTAATGTGTTCACTCAGGGGGATAGTATTCAGCCAAGA